GGCTTGGAGCAACCTGGGCTATTGAAGGTGTCCCTGCCCATGGCAGGGGGTGGAACTGGATGAGCTTTAAGGTCCCTTCCGAGCCAAACCATTCCATGATTCTGTGGTTCTCTCAGCCTGGTGAATTGCTGGACTCTGGCTGGCTCCTGTTGTTTTTGACCAGGAATCCCATCCCACTCCAGAGGTGAATTTCCCACTTGGAACATTTCTGCAAAATTGGGACAAATCAGTATTTCTGTGAAGAGACTGAAAGCCCTGAGTCTGCTCCCAAATGAGTCCCCAGAGATGGTGAAGGGGCTGTGCTGGGGTGGTGCCAGCTGGGTTCCTGCATCCTTAAAAATGTGTCTTTGCTCCAGGTGGGGAGGAGCTGTGGAAAACCCTGCCAGGGAGATGGGGCAATCTGGGAGCAGCTGTTTGGAATGTGAGCCGTCAGGAACTCTTGTGCAAGCAATTAGCCCAACAGAACTCTTTTCTTGTGGCTTATTTTTCATCTGAAATCGTTACCACACCGGGACCCTCCTGGCGCTGCCCGGCGGGGTGTGGGATGGGCTGTTTGCATCCCGGACCTTCCCGCTCCCTGTGTCTGGGATATCAGATCCCAGCTGCTGGGAAATGGCCTGCATGGAGCAGCGAGGCCGTTTCTCCCACCCCAAACTGTCTGGACTCCCTGTCTGCCCTCTCCCTAATGCACTGTCTGGAAAGCTGCCTCCTTCCTTGGGGCTGCTCCCAGGGGAGGCTTGATGGGCTTAATTCAGCTACTATTGCAGCAAGGTGATTAATAATTGAAGAAATGAAGTCATTGCTGAGTAGAGATGGAGGAAAGGAGGGCATTGGACAAAGGACAGTGAGGGCTTTGTGATCTGGACCTCTCCCACCCTCTGCCCAGCACGGAGCATCCTGCCCCTGAACCACACAGTGAGGGACCACGAGGCTTAGACCTGTCTTAGCTGCCCCCTCTTGCTGAAGAGCAGAGTCACATCCTCCTCCTCCCTGTCCAGGGCTCAGAGCCTACTTTGGGACCTGGGCAGGAGCAGAGGAGGGCACCTGGATGTTTCTCCCAGCTGCTCCTGCCGCCTCCAGGAAGGGGCTGGAACAGGATGGAGCCGGGATCCAGCCCATGGGCTGCAGGTCAGAACCCCCTGGGCTGGCCCAGTCCATGCAGTGTCTCTGCTGGAATGTGCTGTGAGGCTCTGCAGGGATTTGGGGGTTTTCCAGTGGGAGAGGGTGCCTTTTTTCCAAGCACTGAGAGAGGGGAAGACACGGAGCTGTTTCTGTGGGGGTCTGTTCCTCTGCCTCAGGTTCCACCCGGAGATGATGGGGAAGGGCTGGAAGTGAGCAGGGTGGAGGTGGGGTGGGCTCTGCTCTTCTCCCCCAGTAGCAGGTCCTTTTTGGAAGCCGTGGCTGGGGTTCACCTGCTCTGGTGCTCTGTCCTCACTCCTGCCCAGGAGGCTGAACTGGAGGGTGATGGCAGAGCCCCTCGTGGGGGTGTCTGGCCTGTGTGGGGACATTGTCTTCCCCAGTGCCACCCACTGGCACATTCCTGGGGCAGGAGGGTCTGGCTTGGGCTCGGGAGCATGGTCACCTTCCTTGCTTCCATTAGCTCCCTGGATTGTCTCACCTGAGTATCCTGTGCAGGATGGAGACCATGGAGAGGACACTGGGCAGCCCAGTGCTCTGCAGAGTGTGACACCCCTCAGGTGCTGCCTCAGGCTGGGCAGGGGGCATCCTTCATGCCCTGAGGCTCCCGTGCACAGCTCCTGCTCCACCAGGACAGCCTCAGAAAGAACCTGCAGCCACAGGGAAGGAGAAGTGGCAGGAGAGGGGCCAGAAGGGACTGCAGTGGCTTCGGGCCCTGCCCAGAGCTCAGGGATGCTCTTTTCCCAAGGACTGGGAGCTAAAGGCTCCTTTTCCAACCCCCTCCCCAGCCAGAGCCGGGAGAGTCCCAGGGTGCTGCTGGGACTGGCCTGGGCTCAGGGAGAGCACAGACCCCCCTTGTTCCAGCAGGAAAACAGAGGCACAGAGAGTTCCACAGTCCTCCCTCTGTTATCCCGCTGGCTGTGCCAGGGCACAGGGCTTTGAGCTAAGATCCTGCTCCTTTCCCCCTCCAGAGGTGGGGAAAAATGGATCCCCTTCAGATATGGATCCCAAATCCCTTCAGCAGCCCCTTTGGACACCCCAAGGCACAATGTCCTGATCCCACCCCAGCAGACCCCCTGTCCCTAGGGGGGCACATCTGGAAAGCCCCTCAGGGAGGGCAGTGGCCGTGACAAACCTTCCACAAACCCAATCCTGAGCCCCAAACACAGCCCTGCCCTGGTGATGGAGTCATTTGCTCAGACCCTGGGATAAAAACACCTTCTGAGCCCAAGTGCCCACCTGGAGGGCAGGGTGGTGGCAGGGTGGTGGTCCAGACCTGGCAGGAGGGTCCCTGAGGAGCAAGGAGTGTGCCAGGAGGAGGAGATGTGTGTGTGGGGGTGTTCATCTTTGGTCCCAGTTTTTGAATGTTTTGGGCAAACCAGATGCTGCTGCTGAGTTTTTGGCTGCTCGTGCTCCCAAAGAACCCCTGGGCTGCTCCATGGGGGAGGGATAGTCCTGGAGCAGAACCTGGGAGAGCACGGGGGGCAGAGCAGCCTGGGATGGGAGAGGGGTCTTGGAGAGGACTGCTGTCCGTGGGGCCCTCACCTCTGTCCTGCTGAGGTCTCCTGCTTGCCCAAGAGAGTTGTAACCCCAAAACATCACCTGATGTGTTTTCTGCACTGCAGCCTTAATAGCTGCCTCTGCTTATCCAGGAATTCAAAAGCAAAGCTGAACTGGTTTCCATATGGATCTGCAGGAGAAAACTTGAACCCCACAGGGACCTTGGGCTGCAGGGGTGGCTGCAGGTGAGAATCCAGCTTGGGAGCAGGACCTGGAGGTGGGAAGTGCTTGCCATCTGCTGGAGAGCTTCCCCTTGGCACAGGCAGCAGGTCCAGCTGGAGCATCCCACAGAGCCCAGGTCTCTCCCAAGGCAAACTTGCTTTCGCAGAATCGTTAAGGTTGGAGAAAACCTCTGAGATCATCGAGTCCAACCTCTGACCCATCACCACTTTAGCAACTAGACCAGAGCACTGAGTGCCACCTCCAGGGCATCCTCTTCCAACGTCTAATCACCCTTTCTGTGAGGAAATTCTTCCCAATTCTTCCTTTACTTCTCTGTTGTGAGACAGCTTTGGCTGCCGGAGTGGGATCACAGAGGGAAGGATTTCTGTGTAGGATATGGGGTGTGCAGGGTTGGGTGTGGGAGCCCTGTGCTGCCCCTGGGGCAGTGTGGGGAGTGCATGGGGCAGGGGCTGTGGGTCTGCAGAGCCAGTCTATCCCTGTCTTCCCTTTATGATACAGGAAACCTTCTCCCTCCCCACAACTCCCTGAAGGAGGTTGTGGTGAGGTGGGGGTTGGGAAACGGCCTCGAGTTGTGCCAGGGGAGGTTCAGGTTGGATACTGGGGAAAATTTCTTCACTGAAGGAGTGGCCAAGCCCTGGCACAGCTGCCCAGGACTGTGGGACTGTGGTGGAGTCACCATCCCTGGAGGGCTTTAAAAGAAATACAGATGTAAAGCTCAGGGACATGGTGGCCTTGGCAGTGCTGGACTCAGTGATGCTGGAGGTCTCTTCCAACCCTTGATGGTTCTGTGATTCCATAACTTCCATGACCCCACATCCACCAGTGCTCTCGTGGAACACTGTTTTCTAGATTCCTGCAAGTCCTGACTTGCAGTCCCCTGTACCTCCAGCTGGTGACAACAGGAGGCAGAGTGTGCAAGGGCAACACTCCCTGTGGCAGCCTCAGGTCCTGCCTCTCTCAAATGATTTTATCTTCATTCCTCTGAACCTCATCTGCTGTAGATAAACCAGTCACACTGTGCTGTACCTGCCAGGCAAGCCCCGCTCAGCTCCAGGCTGGTGGGTGCTCAGTGCACAGGGTGTTTTGGGGGAAACAAAAGCATCATTTGGCTGGGATTTGGGACAGGCTGTGTCTGTCCCGAGAAGTGCCACCAAATTTCTGCGAGGGCCACCTGGCAACCTCCCACTCCTCTTGGTCCCATAGTGAGGCTTTTTTGGTGCCCCAAATTGGTCATGGAAGATTGCA